ATTTTTTTTTACTTTGACTGATCACTCCAATCATTCTTCTTTTCAGAAAAATAATTTATTCTATGAGGTATAATTTCAACCTACATAATATGTTATGTTTAAGTAATTTTTAATTTAGTTTGTATTTTGTTCTATTATTTTTTTAATTAAAATTCTTAATATTTTTATTAGCTAATACTTTTTGTTTATTTTAGCTCAAATCCCTATTTGAGGCAAAAATTTGTATCTTGACATGAAAATATTGTTTTTATTTTTATCGTTAAACCAAATAAATATATTTATCTCAAGGTAATATCTTATAATACTTATATAAAAAATAAATAACTAATTCTAGATAAATGGGAGACGATATTCGTCAATAATATCCAATCAAAGGATCAAAATGTTATCTTCCCGTTTTCATCTCAACCTTTCATTCCGAGACCTTTTCCCCTCGCTGAGATTACTATACATTAGTCTCAAAGTATTCTATAAATTAGCAACAATACCTTGACCTTTTAGATTTAATAATTTCGTGTTTTGGAAGAAGTTTTTTTATTTTAAATGTCGGCGAATTCTAATGCGAAATCTCTCGACCTAATGACCGTATCGCATCGCCTGGTATTAATCAACAGTCCACACGAAGCCTTGTTATGAATAGTCGAAATATGTTAGGACAAATTTTGTTTTTTTATTTAGTAAAGTTATTAATATTTCTTAATGTCAGTTTGCCTTCTCAGGTATATTCTTTTATACCTGGTTTCCTCCTAGAAAAAATACGTGAAATCCACACATCGAACTTAAAAACAAGAGCTTTACTGGCAAAACGTACAATTATATATACCGAATTAAAAATCTCATCTTTCAGTTGACAAAAAATTACTAATCTACTCAAAATTTATACTTTATATTTCTAGTCACATGTAAATATTCGGAAATGAACTTGCAAATGTGGCAGCAAGAATGCAAGAATTTGAATCATTTATAAACAGAAAATAAATCACTTAATACAGGATAAAAGTTTTGTACTGATAACCTTATCATCCTTAACTTTTTTTATTATTTCTTAATCAAATTTACAACTGTATTAAAGAAATACATTTAGTAAATTTGAACATATGGATATAATGACGGGAAAACACTTGATGAGAAACTACCCAATGATAGCACTCTAATGATATGTCTATGTTAGGAGATCACGAAGCCATCTCCTTTTCAGACGCCTCGGAGGCTTATCAGGAATTGAAGAGGAAGCAAGGTTAGAAACGAGAGGGTTGGGATGATACTGAAGTTTATTATGGAAGGATAGGTATCTGGATTGGGCCAAATCTGAAACATTAAGGTCTTTATGAATGGTTTTATTTTTAACAAAGTAGGGAGCATTGAAAATTTTACGAAGGATTTTGGAGCTAAACTCCGTTAGTCCAAATAGGTCTTATTATAGTCATGTATATGAGTATTTTGTAATTCATTGGAAGTTTAGACCGTTTATCTAGTAAGTGCTGAAGTAATCGGAAACTTCGGGCGGTTTCTTGTCGTTTCAGTCTGGTGTGAGGATCCTTAACTTAAAAAATTAAATAATATAATTTATGATTACTCTAGATCTCTTAAATAGTTCCTTTTCAACCTTCGTGGGATGATTTTTGGCATTTGTGTTTTAGCCAATTTTGTAGTAGTTTGTTGTATGTTGATTTTGTACTAGGGATTAATGTAATTCTATATGCAGTAAAAGTTCGATGGGAAACTATATATTATTTTAATCTGATGTGAGTCTTTTTAGGTATACCATAGATTGGTGAAGAGTAAATCTATATGGTTTATATTGTGACAGACATTCAGAGTAAATTTTACTCAATTAAAGCTAATTCAATAGTAGCGTTGAATATTGTAATAAATAAGTGTTTGACCTATATATGAAATTGTCGGGCGTCGATTTCTTTCCTAGTACGCTTGACCACTAACTACAAGATACACATTTGACCTAGAGGTTATAATTCAGTTTGATTGGCGATAACAAATTGATCCAGATTGTTCCTCAAATTATTTTCTCCTTGCCTCTGCTCTTAGAGAAAGACCCGAAGACTCTTGAACAAAGACTCGAACCCACACCCCTAAGGTTGACTAGTGGCGATATTAAACCGCACGCAGGAATTACCCGGGTTGCAGCCGCCAGACCACAAACCTTGCTACCTCTCGAGAGCTAAGTACGGACCAAAAAGGTCACGAAAGATTGCTTTCTTGTAGCAGTCATCTGGAAGTCGAGGTCACAAGGATAACGTACGGTTACAAGAACCATTAGAAAACCGTTATGGGTGATTCGTTCCGCGACCATCGTGAATTGCGATGTTTCAAAAACATACCCAACCTTAACTCAAACTCAATCTCATACATTTTTAATATCGATTAAATAATGTTATTTCTACACACGTTCACTTCTTATATAATTATAAGTTGCTTAACACTTGTGAGATATGAATCCTGGACCATCCGTCATAGAAAATGTCATGGATGATTAAGAAACACAACATGGATGCACAAACGATAACAAATAGCCTTTCTTTCCATCTCGTATGTAGTTGTTTCCAATGAAAACATCGATTAAAAAAAAAAACAAAGAATATTTTTAATATTATATAAAATACTGTTGCATTTTCCATTTATAACGTAATTAGTGTTTGTCCCTATTCGAACTATATCTTACTTTAATAATATTATTTTAGACTCCTTTGAGCTTTTTCTTTTGTCTGTATTAAGTTGTTTGTAATTTTAATTTAATAAATACATTTTTGGTGTTATTTGCGGTATGCTTATTATTTTTATTTACTTTGACCCATGATCAGCTGTTTAATGTAACCTTCCTTTAGTGTGTTTTTGGAACTTTCGGTTTCGTTAAGAATGTACTTGGATGGCTTGGCTAGATTAGAAACTCATGGCTTTATTGTTTGGAATTTTCCATTTATACCGTAATCACTGTTATTCCCTGTTCTAGATATATGATTATTTTAGTTTCTATTTTATAATTATACAATATTTGTTAACTTTTTTTCACAAACTTTCCTATAACTCAAATCGACAAAAAAAAAACTTGTAGTTAATAGCGATTTTTTTTCTATTTGAACGATTCGGGGATGCTTTGTATCTAATATTGCCCGAACCTAACTAATATCGAGTCTAACTAAGAATAAATTTGGTCAATTCTCAAACGTAATTATAAAAAAAAATTATAGATTACAAGTATATGTATATATATATTACATATATATCTAGTAGAGATGGTTATGGATAAGTCATCAAAAAATATGAAGAAGAGAAAATAGCGAAACCAGTTGCTTAACGAAACAAAGTTTTTTTTCTGTAGACAGTGAAGATGGCTCTTAACGTTTTTGAAATTAAATTAAATTTATTTTCCTTCAAACTTTTATATCCTTCAAATTTTCATAACTAATAGATTCACTTGAGAAAAAACAGAAATGAAGGGAAAATTTAGCTAGTTATGTTTGCATATTTGTGCCCATGGGCAATGGATCCATTTTTTTCATTAAATAATTTAGTGAATAAGAAACAAATTTTAATAGCTCAATGTTAAGAAAAATTGGCTCTGCTGAACAAACACAAAACTATTCATGGTGTCCTTTACGTCCTGAAAACTAATATATAATTACCATAATGATAAAATAATTCGAAATAAAAATAATAATAATAAGAAAAATCATCGAAATTGAGCCTTATATTCAGTGTATCGAATAATTAAAAAACAAATATATAAAAACAACTATGTTGTGTGCTTTGGACCACAAGATAAAAATAAAAACACCATCAAACCGAGATTAATAATATTAAATATAAATTATAAATAATAGCCCATCTTATAGAGGATGAAATGGTGAACATTTCCCTCGCTTACAGTTTGCAGATTGGATTTTTAGTTTCTTGTATTTTAATCCATATCTTCAATAAAACTCATTATAATTTGGTTTTTGATAATATTTTTTTCTCTTTTCGCCTCTCTTCGCGTTACGATACAATTTTGAATTATAACGCATTCCAAAGAGGATGAAATGACGAACAATTCCCTTGCTTACAGTACGCAGATTCGATTTTTAGTGTTTAAGATATTTAATCCAGATGCAAAAATACTTCAATTAGTCGACTCAAGAGGACTTCACCCTAGCGTTACACATCGGAAATCTGATGGATTAATCTAATTAACACTTCACGAAAAAATGCGAAACGCTTCCAAAGAAGTTTTCACTTAAAAATGAATGCTTATACGGTGTTTTCAAGAAAATACCAAGAGGAATTCATTTCCTTTAAAACACTATATATAATTACATCAAGTGCCGTTCAAAAACTTAGTATTGAAGAATAACTAAATGTACAAAAATGTATACATTACTAAATCAAATTTTAAAGATAAATCTCTTTTTTTTTATTTTTTATTTATGGAGCATTACAACAATCTGTCACTTAGACATTAGTTATAGGTAGGATAACATTCACACTATATGTACAAAAAATATAAAATAAATAGAAGCAATATAACCATAAATAATAATCAAAAAGTATATACAATAAATAAAAGAGAATAACCTAAAAATAAGAAAATTAAAACTAAAGGAACTCCAGGAGAACCCTGCGCTACTCTCTCAACCACATAGCTGGTACTAAAACCAGCGGAGATTGATCGAGAGCACTTTAGCCATAAAGATAAATTTAAAATATAAAAAAAATAATAATAATAAAATAAAATCTCAATCGGGCCAATATTAGCACAGGCGTATCAAATAATTTTTGAATTTGATTTATCACCCTTAGCGGTAAGGAAAGTTGACATACCAGATATTCTTGTCTGATTTCAGGGTCCTTATCTTTGCTTGTAAGATTCCCAACTGAGAACGAAACAACACTTCGTTTTACAAAACTACTCATTAGTAAGATAAGCGCCATTTCATCTCAACAAACAATCAAAGCCCAATAAAATTCCTTCCCTAAACACGAATGCAGATAGAAAGTTGCGACTATTATCCTCTTAGGAGCGGTAATAAAAAAGAAAGTCCATCTTCCGAGGAGTAGATGGCATCTTTAACCCATCCGGGATGACCCTTAACCCTCAGCCAATTAGGCGCTTCATTGCCTGTTCTCCTTCCGAGCTGGTTCTTATACCGTTCTCTATTGGTCCTTTTTGTATCCTTTGTCGTACCTTCTTTGGGTACTGGCCTAGATGTACCGCGAACCGTTTGAGGCGGAATACATCGTTTTAATTAGGTTTAGTTTGTATTACATCCTCAACAACCTCATGTAACTTACTGCATACCTTGCGTACCTACATGACCCCAATTTCAAATTAGCATTTTTATTAAATTTGGAGAATTTTTTTTTTTAATTTTATTGCTTCCTATTCTTAGTGATCTCCGTCATTGGTCTCCGTAATTGCAAATTATATAATTTTATTGTAGGTTCAGAATTTATTATTATATAGTAGAAGGGTCTCTCCTGTCCGCCCAACGGCGGTTCAACCCCCATTTTACACATTATACAACGGTTCATTTAATAGAACTACTCGTTGATAGTGTTGCCCAAATGCGAGACTGGGACGAGTCTTGGTCTTGCAAACTCAGTCTTCGTCTCGCGCAAGCATCTCGCAACAGTCTTGCAGTTACTTATTAGCTTATTACTATAGAGAAATTACTGTAATTTTTTAGACAGGAGAAACCTAACAAAGCCCGAATCAAAAATTAGAGGAGTTCAATGAAAAAGTATATTGGTTATACCAATTATTAACATATAGTAACTAAAATTGTCGAGTATTAGGTTTTTTAATAGTCGATTTTCTTACTAGTCTTTGGTCTTTTACCAGTCTCAGACCGATTTTTAGCGACACTACTCGTTGATCAAATTGTATTATTTTTATCAACATATATACGGAAGGAAACCACAGTTGGAAATTTTTTTAAAAAATCTATGTTATACATCTCACCTTACTGCAAATTTCTATTATTATATAATTATAATTATTGAAAATGTGTAACCACAAAAAAGGAAAAATAATACTGGGAATAAGAATGTCTTCGTTATAGTCCGTCCCACTTTGTATATGCAAAATAAAATTTTACACGGTCACTAATTTTTTTGTTTATATTATAGAGTGAAATCATTTTAAAAATTGATTTTACCGGTGTAAAAAAAATATGTTGGGAAAATCGGTTTGCTTTATATTGGTTACCAGTGACGTGAGTATAGTTCGTAATAAGCTTGAAGATACGGCAGCCAAATAGGCAAGTATTGCTATCCTGACCTCTCCAAAAATGTATTTTCCTCTCAAAAAAGAAATATCGGATGGAACGTAAGCCCACCTTCAAAATTTAAATTTGTTAAAAAATCATTGACGCCTTGGACCACATCAAACCGTCCTAATCGCGGAGAAGAGGTCGCTGTGACTAGGTTATAAATAGGACACAAAAATTTAACTCATTTACATCTCATCACTAAGCAACCACCACAAAATTGTCAACACTGCAATAGCCCACTCACTATAAATCATATTTTCCTTATTATACCTCAAGTTTAAATAGATTATCTCTAAAATCAGATATATCAATGGTATTGAAAAATGACTAATCAAACATAAAAACAGTAATACATTTTCATAAAATCCAAAGACTATTGAATAAAATATATAAATAAATATAATTTTTATTTAATTGGTATGCTTTTTAAAATGATTTTAATATATTTTTTTAATTTTTTTTTCTCATTTATTATTCTATGTATCTGTTGTTAATTCTTGATTATCCATTATTTTTTCTATCTTTTAAAGAGTGTATGATCTCAACAGATAACAACAATAATCGACTCGCAGGCGTTGATGACTTTTTACGCCTTAAAGCCTAAACAAACAAACCGGTGTAAAATTCTTCTACCTCTTCAAATTTTGCTTATATTATACTATTTATAATAATTACGTGAAAAAAAAAACATTTTTCCGAAATTTTAAATTTACAAGGTTGTTCTTGAATGAGCGAAATCTCTTCATAAGTTATAACGTCTTTATATCAGCTACTAAATTAAAAAAAAAAATTGGGAACTTCACACACCAAAAATGATTTAATTTATAACTAAATTTAATATAAAACTAAAATATTCTTTAATCATTGAAGAATAATGGCTGCTCAATCACACAAAAACAGGCGGATTTACTTAACAACTGGTTTGCAGATGTGAGCTCAAGTTAAAAGGTCAAATGAGAGCTAGAAAGCATCGAATCACCAAATAGCTGCTGCAAGTCGTAAAAGAAACTGTCTATATTAGCTTTGATGACTGCCAATAAACTTGGATGACATAAAATAATAAACTGACATAAAAAATGTCTGAATATGACACTAATTGATCGACGATTATACACGACTTTCTTTCCTTTTTTTTTTTTTGTAGAAATAATGATTTTAACTTACGCGATTCAATTTTAGACTATTACTTAAGAACTTACCTGATTTCTCTTTTAGATTATATTTTCATGAAAATAAATATTTTTTAGACCGACAGATGGCATCGATCTGAAATTTAATACAATAACAATATTAGATTTATTATTATTTCGGAATCGGTACTTTATTTGTAAAGTAGACTAAAGGGTTTGTTTTGAATCTTCACTTTAATTTTAAGATGCGAGATCAATATAACTTTTTATTTTCAAGAGTAAGTTCAAGCTGTATTTTGTATAAAGAATTACTTAAGTGTAATACATATATGTTTTAAAATTATTTAGTCGAATTATAAAGACTGTAAAGGTGGAGGAATGACCAAGCTGATAAACTGAAGGTTACGAGTTCGAGCCCCAGTGTCGAGAGCTTTTAACTCTGGCATTAATTTCCCCGCACTCTCCTCTGGCTCAGAAAAATGGGGAAAAAGGCGTTTTCACATTATATTAATTAATTTAATTAGCTGCTAAATACTTATAAATACCCATCTGATTTCCATTTGAATCGTAAAATAATTTGATCGCACAAAATATTGGGCCATTTGGCCAATATAACCTGGTTATTTTGACATGTTAGGAATAGAGGTCACGCAAAATATTTTTGTAGGCCACCTTTCCTTCTTTCCTCACGATTTTGTGACAAAATTATCTTATCATTCAAGACGAAAACAAATAGGTTCATGATTTATCAGTACCTCTTTAAATAGAAAAAGTTTGCTTATCGCCAGATTAAAAAGCTCCGTATTCAGAGAATATTCCTAAACAAAAAAAATTGTAGGGTATGATAAGATAAAGTTGTTCACGAAGTTATAGACAGGCGTTAATAAATTGATAAGTGATCTGTAACGCGGACTATATTGAATTATTTATTTATCTTTTGTAACGCTGGCTATCAATGCTCAAGGCACCAGGTTTGAATCCGGCTGATGGGCAAGTAAATTATTTATTCTGTTTCGTCGGCTGAAGATCAGCCCTGAAGTGCACACAGCCTCTATAATTTAATAATTAACAAAGGGGAAAAAACTGGCAGTTGAGCGTAATTTTGGTCAAATCACCTCCTTGCACGACCGTAGACCAAGAAACAGTACTTTCCCTAAATAGTACTGAGTCTAAGATCCTTCATGGATTTTAGTGATTCAGGTTTTTTTTTTTTTATCTTTATTTATATTTTGTCATGTTAATTACGATGAAATATTTTTGTGAATAGAAATATTTAAATATCTTTGCATTCTTAATCTTTCATTAATATACTAAAAACAAATCCTTAAAATCAATTGTAAAAAATAAATTCCAAACTAATCCTATCAATCAGATAGCCCATTCAGAAAGAGCCGTAACAGCTGGAGGAACCTCATAAAGCCACACACACACGCCTGGGTTTTTTCATCACCTCTCTCTTTCATTGTGGCTGGAGATGATTCCAGTCCCTGGAGGGGAGAAAGAAAAAAAAAATCTCCAGCACAAAAAGTGGCTAAGACCACACTCGTAAGGATTTACACCTGTAGTTTATTTACAGATAATATATTAGTCGTGTGGAAGGCGCGTGTATTGTCACTGGAATTCGGCCTTAAGGGAAGATTAATAGTTTAGTATATATGAGGCTTATGGCATCGTTACAAGACTGAGGTATCTTTGAAGCTTATAGAGTTTTTACATGTTTATCACATTAATTGTAGATAATTCATTTAATTTATTTTTACAATATTAACGAAATAGGTAGATAAATATGCTTATTAAATACTATGTGTTCCGTTCGTTATTAAATAAGTATTATTAATCCCTGTTTTATAGAAATAATTATAACATGATCAGTTATTTTAATTAATTCAATAATGACAAAATTAAAAAAAATAATTATCAGCAAGTGTATTGAATTCAATAACTGTACATTAATATTTTTTTTTACCGGCCTTAACATACCACCTATGGCTTTCCGATACACCAAATTATAACCAAATAATGTAATTTTCAATGGATTTATAAAATGATTTTATATTTTTATGTTTTACGAAGAGCAAATCGTAATCATTTCATTGTAACCTAAAACTTTTTTGTTTACGAAAATTCTAGAGCGTTTTCAATTCTGGAGATCGTCAAACTTTTTCCATTTAATTAGCTACTAAAAACTAAGATAATTTGATTCCAAAAAAAAAAGAAAAGTGGCCTATAAAAATATTAGGCCGTTTGTCGCGACCTCCACCCCAAACATAGTGAGGTTTTATAGACCAAACGGTCCAATATTTTTGCAGGCCACCCCCTTTTTTTTTTTTTTTTTTTTTTTTTTTGATTTTATAATAAAATTACGATTTCAGTGGAAAACAAATGAGTTTTTAGTACATTATTAAATTGATTATTTTTAAGAGAAGACGACCGATTTTTTAGAATTTTCGTAGTTGAAAAATTTTGTAGATTACAATATGAAGTCAGTGGACGTTAATAATTTGATGAAAAGAGGTCTGTATCGCAAACTAACAAAACTTTACTTCTCATGTTATTTATTATAATAAAATATAAATTATATTATTATTATATTTATATATTTAGACCACAAGATAAAAGTGATAATATCAACAAGTCGAGACTAATAATACGAAATATAAATAATAAATAATAGCACATTATCAAGAGAATAAAATACTGAACATTTCCCTCGCTTACAACCAGTAGGTCTGATTTTTTGTTTCTGATATAAAGCTTGTTATAGTTTGGTTTCCACAACTATTTTTTCTCTTTTTGACTCTCTACCGGTCTCGCGTTAAGATATAATTGTGAATAATATTCAATTACAGAGAGAATAAAATGCTGAACAATATTAATTTCACAAATTATTATTTATAATTATTTCGTCACATTCCAATATCTTCTACGACTTTCTATATTATACATATGATTTGTATATTGTTTTTTCTAAAATCCTTTGCAACGATATATTATACGTATACCTTCTGACTATTATTTTCCGGAGTTTCATTTTCGATCTAAAAAAAAAATCAATTATTCGATTTTACACTTTACACAAGAAATCTGATGGCTTAGTATAATTCATTCTACACAAAAAAGTGCGAAACGCGGCTAAAGAAGTATTCTCTTAAAAAAAGTCTAAATTATTTATATACTAGTATTTATCGAATTCAATCAACATACATCAATAGAGTCCAGGTATTCAACTCATTATCACACTTTGAATGATGACCCTAACCGTTTTCTGCTAACACATTAACGTCAGATGACTGATAGATATCCTAAAATATCCACCTCATGGCATACACGAAGGCCATTAAATATCGTCGTAAACCGGGTTCGTGAATTCTCGTAAACGCGACGCTAATCTCGGAACAGCTGTGTGTAAGGCTCGGGTGTGTACTGCTAACAACACACTTTCGCTTCGCTCGCCCGAGATGTCTTCCAGCGTTAACGGCTATAAACTAAGATGAAATTCTTGGTTTATTTATGCGGCAGTTATTGCATCTATGTTTTATGACTACGTCTAATAAAAAATCATTTTATGCTAATATAAGATTATTATATTATTTTATACCTTAATTTAAATATTTATTAATTTATTTAGTATACAATATTTAATAAGATATTATGATTGTAAATAAATCTTCTCAGATTTTAAGGGTTTCAAGAATCGCCTTTCGAGAGTCAATATTTTTGTTTTCTATCTTTCCATTTAAAAAGTTAAGGTTAAATAGTTCCGAATTTAAAAATATTCACAAATATAATTTAGAAAATTTATGCTAGCTTATAATTTGTTATTATTAGCTTATAATAGCTTTATTAATAGGCTAAAAGAAACTGGTAAAAAATTAGGAGGGGTGGTAAAATTATATTTCCGAATAACTCAAGAATTATAAACTTTTTTGGTGATGTGTATAGATTTTTAAAAGTTTACGAAATGTTATTTTAAAATTTTTTGTTGTTGATTTTTTTAAAGTTTTACATCAACTAAAGCTATGTCGTTTACCTTATAAAAAATAAAATTATTTTAACTAATGTTAGGAATAATTTTTTTCTTCTTTATGTTACACGGAAAGTAATGTTAAATTATTTCGAAATAATAAACTATTGTGTTATAATTCAGAGCGTTTTTATGTACAATTCACCACCAGAGACAGTTCAAAGAAGAGCTTTTATTAAAATTCTTATGATTATAAACTGAGATATTTTTTTAATGTTTTTTTTTTAATGTAATATATTGAATAGTTTTTTTTCTAATAAAAATTAAATGTTCCTAAAGTTAGAAGGTTTTAATATATCTCTACACGAATGGGATCAACACGTGTGCTTTATGAAAGTGAATAAAAAGTATTTATCATATGTATTATGCAAGCTCGTAAAATTCAATCGTACAGAAATCGATTATTTTTAATAATCGATTATAATGTCGGGCATATCGGGCATGGTATATAAGATGTGGAAATGGAATCATATACCAGATAGCTCGCCTATACTTAACAAATTAATAGTCGGTTATTTCGCTTTTAAATTATATGGTTCGAACTGAGACCTATCTTTGACTTAATTAAGGCCCACGTGAAATCGACACCTACAAGCATATGTGATTGGAATTTTTCACTTCCTTAATCTTTAGTAAATTAATTTTAGATCCGGACTCCAATTTCTGGCTTCTCCTCCTACAAATAATTTCTTAGTCCTCTAATTTTTTCTCAGATGACCTTCGTCGCAAGGACGTAACAAGAAACAATCCGAATTATAAATGCAACCTGACATAGTAAAATGAAAATCTCACCAAAGCAAAGAGGGTGAAAATATTTACTCTAAATACCTGGTCGGGTAAGAAAAAAAAAAGTTATATAGCAGACAGCATGCATTCATTTTAAAGGTTATTATTTATGACGACGTTTTAAACCATCATCATTGCCTGACTATTTATCATCTATGACATGTAGAACAATTGACTAACTCTCTTCAATATATAGCAAATAGCTACTGTATGGGAACAGTCTTTATTTAGATATAAATTTTTACAATATTATGTTTGATAATAAATTGTATTTTAAAAATGTTAGACTGTTACAAAAAAGATAAGAAATGGTATAAGAGAAAGATATTTATAGAGAAAGAACTACAGGACAGGCAGTAGAAATTTGAAAACTTTTATTCTGTCTTAATCGTTGAATATCTTGGATAATTCTAATAATTCTAGCTAATTTATTTTTATTTTGTTTTAATTAAAGGCTTCAAACATCGGCTTATTTTCATTAAGAATTAAATTCAATTCTCAGGTTTTGAACATTTCTAAAAACAAAAGAATTTGTCAACTTCATTCGTTCTGTCCTGTAAAATGGTGTATAGATCGTTTGTCAAGACACAAGATGTTAGAAATATTTCGTAAGCTTGTCGTTCTGTTAAAATGTGTTCTGTCAGAGGAGTCCCACTGGTTTGCCATATTGGCAAAGAATCACAGGCCATAGGTATCCGTGAATAAGGCGTGTGTGACCTATACTTGACGATGCCCAGGAGGAAACGTCATCACTCCATTAGAAATATTTTAAACTTTGTCTGCTTGATCAGCTGTTTTTAAGACAGACTTCCTTTTATATACATATTTATTTCAATTGTATTTATTATTAATATTTTTTATTCTTATTTTTGTGTCATATGTATGTATTTTGCTTGTTGCTTACAAGTTTTTTTTTTGTGAACAGCTATTATGACCCCTTTAGCTTTTAGCTGTGTTAACTTAAATTTCTTTCAGTATGTGATGTGATAGTTGGTCAGTTTTCTTTTTCTGTTCTTACGTTGTCAACATTTACAAAACGTTGACGGGTTATTTTATTCTTTACTTGCATATTAAAAACACAAGTAGTTGTAATATTTCCCATCAAAAACTAATAATTGGAACGTGGAAGATCATAAATATAAAATCATGTATTTAAAATTTGAAAAAATTATATATAAATAAATTTCTGAAGTTGCTTTAGGGTTCCAACATGGGCAGTGACGATACCCAATGGGCAATAGTTCACAAGAGCGTTGCCTAAGCAACCACACCCAGTTGGCTAACACCGATACCGTTCTCAAAACCTCCCTGTCGATACATCAAATTAGAACCAGGAGTCGATGTCGCAAGTCGATTTTTCGCAAGGCGCGGGGGTGGGCCAGAACAATATGGTCGTGACCCCTGATCCCGAGATCTTAATGAAGTGGCACGGTACTTGCGCAACCGCTCCAGATGGTGGCGCTATCCCATCGGCCGGTGTAGAAACTTCTTCTGCATAATTGTTGGTAGCCGAGCACGATCGAGGGGGTTCTTCTCATGTCCAAGCCGCATTCCTTTACTCTACGGTTATCCTTGGCAGAAATGTCCGCTATTGTTATTGTATGGAATTAAACAAGATTTCATCATGTCTTGCAAGAAGCTTTGCAATTAACTGGATGTCTGGGTTGGTAGCAATGTACCTTTTATCTTATCCAACAGGCATGTTAATTTCAAAACGAACATGAACAGCTTCTTTTCTCGAACGTAAAGCACTATACTTAGTGAAATTGTAGACTTCTGTATTAAAAAAAAAAAATAATTTTTAGAAGCCAAATTTTTAAGTTTTTACAAATTTACTAAATGACAGTATGTCGATTTTTACTAACATGAGGAGACTACAGTCAATGGTCTTTCAATTTCTACTAAAAATACGCTACATCGAAAAATATTATACAGATATCCCGGCGTTCGTTTCAATACATCCTATTAGCTAAGGAAAAATATTTTATATAATTTCAAACAAAATTTATATTATTTATTTATGCCTTTGCTTTGCCCGAATTTTTAGGTTATTATATACCAATTGATTTCTTCTTCCTTTTTTTTTTTTTTTTTTTTTTGTTTGTGCAGAATAAGAATCAAACATTAACTATATTATTAAATGGGTTATAATGTATCATGAAATTAAAAAAAACAAAAGCTGCTTTCTGTAAAGTGGACTGATTTAATTTTTCTTAAGAAAAAAAAATTAGTTCCTTTTTTAGTGTACTTTAAAGCTCTTTTTAATAAGATTTTTTAATTTAAAGAAATCAATAATTTCAAATTTTAATACTTGATTTTTTTGAAGAATTTCTTTAAGTATTGTGTCTAAATTCTACGTTAATACAACCGTTAGAAAGCTAAATTATCGCTCATTCAAACCAAGATGCAGTCATTATAAAGTTTTAATTGATGCCGACGTTTCAACTCAAACATGTGGATCTTCTTCGGGACGTGTTTCGAGCACTGAAGTTATTCAAGTATTCAATACCTTCTACAAGTACAATAGAGTACTTGAATACCTTCAGTGCTCGAAACACGCCCTGATGATGACCCACATGTTTGGGTTGAAACGTCAGCACCAATAAAAACTTTATAATGACTGCATCCTGAATATTTATCACCCATGATATGTATAACAGTCGACTAACTTCCTTCAATATTTAGATTTCATTTCTTTTTAAACTAGAAATTAAGAAAACATTTTCAAACATTTTTCTTTCATATGAAGTAACATTTCATTTCGTAGCATATGAAGTATGCTTGCACGCTTTACAATTCCTCTAAATTCGCATTTCATTTCGAATAGTAAATTATATGGCCTAATTTTAAAACGAGGTCTAAATCGCATAAACACACTGTACACGAAACAAAATATACATCGACAAGACCATACACCGATATTATCCATTTCAATTAGCAGTAACAATATGAGTTATCGCCAGTAAATCAAATCTTCTTGGAAGTCGTGCAAGGCAAAATTAGTTCCGTGAGTTCCTGCTTGGATCTAGTCAGTTCCCCATCTTGGTCTTTCACAAATCAGTTCCGTGGTTTCTCTCCAAGCGGTATATATACACAGTACGCCAATATTATTTTTAAAATAATTAATAGATTAATAATGTTTTATTATTTTTTAAACTTCAATGTATTATTCTCTTTGAAGGTTGCAAGAGCTTCTTCAAGCGGAGTGTTCGGCGTAACTTGACGTACTCCTGCAGAGGGAGCAGGAACTGCCCGATCGACCAACACCACAGGAACCAGTGCCAGTACTGCAGGTTGAAGAAGTGCCTCAAGATGGGCATGCGGCGGGAAGGTAAGTCCTTAAACTTTTTCTAATTTGTTAGATATAGTTATCACAAAGTCTTAAGGATCTAAAACAGCGGTAAATAACAAATAACTAATTTACTTAAGAACTAAATTACTAATTTTGTCAGAACTTGGATACCAGTGAAATATTAAAAAGGTTTCGATTATTAAACTATCTTCAACCTTATTGGTAAGATATTACATAATATTGGAGAGGTTTACAATTTCCTTTAGTATTTTAACAAATATTCGACTGTGAATTCAATTTGTTTACTTCCTAACATCGGAAGATAGATAGGTAAGCATAATAGTCCGTGCTGCAGATCCCTTTTTATCTAATTATTAACAATCACCTGAAACTTCATAAATAGTTTCATCTCATCGTAACCTACAAATATTTTATTTACGAAAACTCTTGGAATTGGAGAGTTTTCAATCTGGTGGTCGGCAAACTTTGTCTATTTAATTAGGTACTAAAAACTAGTAAATATCGATTTGCTTTCTACTTTGATCATAAGATAATTTGATCACAAAATAGAAAACATAGATGGCCTACAAAAATATTGGGACGTTTTTCCTATATAACTTCGTTATTCTGAAAATGTAGGGGTGTAGGTAACGCCAAACAGCTCAATGTTTTTGAAGGCCACTTTTTTTCTTTTGGGATCAAATTATGTTACGATTCAAGAAGAAAGCAAATGAGTATTTACGAGTTTTTAGTAGCTAATTAAATAGACAAAGTTTGCTCCCCTCCAGATTGAAAACTCCCCAATTCCAAGAGTTGCCGTAAATAAAATAGTTTTAGGTTATGATGAGATGAAACTATTTACTAAGTTTCAGGCGGATGTTAATAATTCGATAAAAAGGGGTCTGAGGTTAAGAAAAATTGTGTGCTCTGAATGGTAAATTTCCTGTTGTGTTGTACGTTTTATACATCATGAAACAAATTTGGATCAAAAAATGGTTCGTTCAGTTTGGTTCAAATTTGGAGTTAAGTTAGGCACTAGCGTATCCAGAATTGAATTTTGGGAGGACTTCAGTCAGAAAGTTTTTTTTTTTTTAATTTTGAATACTTCTTTGGCAGACTATCTAATTACCTATATAAAATGGTGTTTAATTGATTCCTGAAGTTCTATTAAATGTGATTACACGAACAATAAATAATACGTTTACAGATAGGTTTTTATTTTATGAGACATGGTTATGTTCAAGTTTACTCAATTTTATTGAGCAAATAAAGTTAATGTAATGTTTCAGAACATAATCGCTACGAAATGTGTTAGACTGTACATTTATGACAAAAGGAAATTATATAAGTTTCCTTATATAATTTAATACGCCCCCAAAGGCGATGGCGTATGCCTATCTTGAAGAAAATTCGTTGTTTTCATATTCTTAAAAATGATGCGCATGAAAGTAAAATAAGAAAAATTGTGTAGTTTACTATCTGATTTTTTTCCATTGTTTGAAAGTTATCTTCAATTGAAACATCACAAAATTACAATTCCATATAAAAATTCATAACTCCGTAAATATGCGCCCCCTTCAAAATTTAGATTAGCATTTCTTCCAACCCTCTGATTACTCCTGTGTCTTCACTGGATTATTTTATATTTGGTTTTAAATAAATTTATAATCTTAATCAAATGTATGAGTATCTTAATCATTTACTTAGCAGACTTTTCTTTCTTGTAATATTTAATAAATAAGATAAGTTCCTTACTATAACTGCTCAAGGATTACTATTTACTGACTCACTCAACTACAATTACTTCAGAGCAATTAATTTTAACAGAATGATTAATTCGGCACAGTTGAAGTCTATTTTTAAAACTCGTGCGACACCAATTGCTTCCACTCCTAAATTTATGGGAGCACCTAATGTAGCGTCTAGTTGATGTTAATTGTACACTTATTTCCCATTTCTTATTATCCTTGTCCTTGTTTTAATTATTAGCTGTTTCTTCCTTCTCTTGTACTCAATGCGAAGGTACAAAGTATCTTGAACCTTAAAGCAATTACAGAGAATATTCTATAACAACAGAGCTATCTATGTAAGGGAATGTCGGACGTGTCATGAACCGAAGGTCAGTAACGGTTAGACAGCGCCATAAGCGGATAACACCAACAAATCGAAATAGATTGATTGTATGCCATCGATCAACGAATTAGCAGAGACTTCGAATGTGCTAAAACGTCCAGGAAGCCAATCAGGTTTATTTATTTCTAATTGGCTAAATTGTTAGTGTTAAAAAAAAAACGAAAACCACAACTTATAATTAGTATATTGTTGAAATATTTAAAAAAAAAATCTTAAGGTGTTTGCTTCAGACCGCATAATAGAAATGAAAACATCAACAAGGCGAGATTAATAATATGAAATATAAATTATAAATAATAGCTCATTGCAGAGAGGATAATATGCTGAATAATTCCCTCGCTTACAGTATACAGGTCCGATTTTTAGTTTCTGATATATTTTAATCTATATCCTCAATTAAACTCTTTAAAATTTATTTTTCGACACTATTTCTTTCTTCTTTCGCCTCTCTAACACGTTATCGCATTAAAAAATAATTTTGAATAATAGCTCATTACAAAGAGGGTGAAATGATGAACATTTCCCTCGCTAACAATATGTAGGTCCGATTTTTAATTTTTGAGATATTTTAATCCATATGCAAAAACACTTCACTTAGTCGACTCAATCCGACTTCACTCGAGCGTTACACATCGGAAATCTGACGGTAAAATCTAATAAACTCTTCACAAAAAATAAAATAAAAAAAATAAAAAAAAGTCTTGACAATTTCAAACAGTCATAAATAATTAAACAGTCATAATTTCTCTAATTCAAGCATCAACATAGCTTCCGCACCATTTTTATTGGATACATAAAAAAAAATAAACTTAAATAGGATTATAATTATATTTTTTAAAAACTTATACTTTGCATTCTAAGTAAAATAAAAATTCATGAATTCTTTTTATTTGTTTATTATTAGGTTATTTTATTTTATTTTATTATTTTTCTGTATAATTTATTTTATTTATTGTACATAGAGTGTGAATGTGATCTCAAAACATTATTACAGATTGTAATATTTTCAATAAGCAATTTTAAAAAAAAAAAAATCCTTCGATACTGAAATTAAAAAAAAAAGTTTTTCTTTCGTTTCAAGCCCTAAACCATTTAAATAAGGCCTGTTTGTACATACAAAACTTTGGACCTCAGCAAAATGTTAACTCATGTTTTTTGTTTTGTTTTTAATTTTTTTGTTTACTTATTCTTTTACGGCTTCAAATCAACAGCTCAACATCGGTAAAGTCAACGGAAACAAAGATTTTTGTTTTCTTGTAAAAGCTGAGAAAGTAAAGCTCTTCCTACAACTATTAATAAATCAATTTTTTAACGACAGTGCCAATTACCATCCACGTTTGGGAGCGATTTGTCCCGAAAGGCGTGCTGCAAATTGATTCTTGGTTCAGGTTCGACCGGTGTTGCGAAAGACGAAGAGATTGATGAACCTATTTGTCTTACCCGGTGGTACGTTACGTACCGTTTCAGAAACACCTAACTGCATTAATAAAGTGTCCGGACGCTGGCAAAACCGAGTCCTGTAAGTTGCCCAGCGTTGTGACACAGTTTTGAATAAAGTCTGCGTTAGTTATTTTCGCGAGATTTATCGGCGTTCTATATTTAGCCAATGACCGTTTTGTATATTTATGTATTTACATCTTGCAGTTTCGAATGCAATGGCCATTTGTAAAACGTGTTACAATCCTACAACGTCACTTGTAGGAATAAAGTGGATTAATAAGCTTTCGAGATATGCAATTTATATAAACTGCATTTGTCAACGTGTTCTTGATCGAATAGCTCAAATAAATACACTATTTAAATTTTATATTATTTTTGATGTGAAAACTTCTTTAGACAGGATTGGCACTTTTTTTTTGTAAATAGTGATTTAGATTGAGCCTTCATATCTCCGATGTGTAACGCACGTGTAAACGGTCGACTAATTAAAGTGTTTTTGTATATGGATTAAAATATCTCAAAAACTAAAAATCGGACCTGCATATTGTTAACAAGGGAAATGTTTATCATTTAATCCTCTTTGTAATGAGCTATTATTTATAATTTTAATTTATCTTGTTGATGTTTTCACTTCATCATTCATATTGTTTTAAGTACTTTGAAATAACCTTACAGTGCAAAGTTTTAAAATTCAAATGTATCAAAGCTCCAACAAATGTTGTTTTAAAAGAGAATATTAATATTATATTTTTATTAATTCGAATGTAACAGATTAAAATTTGTTTTTATCTCAATATAAAACACTGATATTGTACTACCAACATCTATGGAAGAATGAGAGCTATAAAATGGTATTTAGTAATATACTTTGTCATATATGAGTGGCTTTGTATCTAAAAGCGGGCATTTCTTTTATTTAAAAATTAGAAAATTAATATTTTATATCAGGCGAAAAATAAAGGAAGCCATTATAGAACACTAATTATTAAACGGTATCCGAAGTGTACCATAATGGCGGGTTTACAAGTTTCCCAAACCATGGCGAACACATGCTTTCCAATATTCGAGGCCAATCTATTACTGTATTTACGGAAACAAATCAAATGAATCCTTACAGTATGTGCCGAAAAATTGTATTGATTGAGAATACAACAGATATTTATGATTTACCAAAGTATTTCTCTGGAAAAACAAACAAATAAATATTCTCTTATATATTTCTTTCATTTTTTTTTTTTTTTGTTTACGTAGATTTTGTATTGGTTTGAGAAACTTACAAACAAGCCATAGGATTCAAAACTGAAAATCTATCCTCTAACACATTCATAAAAAAAAAATTAATGAAGTGTATCACATTAAATTATCACAATTTTTAATATATTATATTTATTACCATGAATTGGTGGTTAAGAGTATGCAGCAATAAAAAAAATTGTTTCGGTGATTTCATAAAGGTCCTAATTAAGAAGGCAGGTCTTTTGGATAGAGATTATTATATATATTTACGATTACGTGTATTTATTTTTATTTAAAATTTTTCCGGAAAAATAATGAGTTTCCTTAACTAAAAATTTTCTATGAAATCCTTTCATATTTTTTAATCAAATCAAATTCCTCTAGCAAACTAGGTCTCACTATTTCCTCATTACTAGAGTTAAATCGGTCTTGGTCTTGCAAAGTGTAATCCAAAGCGCCTAACTGTCTGGAAGACAATGACTAAGAATAGTAAAAAAAAATCAATTTTTCGAATCAAAATTAAGGTAAAATAGTTACTAATAATTGACAATTTTAGTTATTATACGTAAAGAATTGGTATAAGCAACATACTTTTGTATTTAACTCTTCTAATTTTTCATTCAGGCTTAGTTAGGTTTCTCCGATAAAAAAAAAATACCGTAATACCTCTATAGCAATAAGCTGATAGGTAATTACAAGACTGTTGCGAGACTTTGCGCAAGACCAAGACTACTCATTACTCGTTTTTCTGATCAGATTTGTTTTTCCATTAATTTTCCAAAAAATTAAACATTCCTTGTAATTCTTCCAACAAGAATTTTTTTTAAATGTCCGTACCACCCTAGGCATTTTTTCTTTGATCTCTTCGAGAATATATATTTTTTTTTCTCCATATCTTATTTATATTATACATAATATATTAACATATTTATCATTATGTATGTATATTATATATAAACATATAATATATAAAATATAGCCGGAGTGGTATATACTATGTGGGTCAAAAGGAGGTGCGTAATGGGCAGGCTAGCCCGAAGCCAAGGCTGTTCAGGTCACGCGCGGATACCGGCCTTTGTCTTAACTCTGGAGGCTCCAGGCTCGAAAGAAGTAAAGTTGCCGGCATTGGGAGTCCTATCTGAGTCCTGGGTTTTCGGAATAGATAATTGGTATTTACAATGACGAAATATTGAAAAAAAAAATAGGCTACGATACCAGAAACATGCTGTGAAACAACGAAGAAAACAAGTATCCTTTTTCCTGATGTATTCGATATATAACCCGACATAAATCAGCGAAACATATTTATTCGTATATATAATATAATATAATCAATATAGTTGAACACACAATCCGTGAAGCTTCGCACTTTATCTCGACTCTCTAAGTGACAGTTTACTTAATACATGCTTGTTCCACTGGAAAATTCTAACTCTAGTTTAATAGTTATGCATTAACATACAGGTATCCATAAACTTACACTAATTCATTATTGCACTCGCATAAGACCTATCTATTTGGCAAAGAAAAGACTTAGTTTGTAGTTCTCACACTTATTCTAACGATTTTTTTAAAACTCGGTATATTATTAAGATGTCTTTAATATCGGCTAGGTCTTATTCACGTTGATATCGCATTACAGGATTTAAATGCCCAATACTCAATGTTTCTTCCTCTAAAATACCTTTAATTGGGTTAAGTTAAAAAAAAAAACTTTCATTGTTAAGAGTTATGAAAAAAGGCTGAGATAAGTTTTGAAATCATTTGATAATTGAATAAAGGAGAAAGAAAAGGAAAATGCTTATCCAGGTCGAAAATAAATCTCCGGAAATAATATTCAGAATATATACGTATAATATATCGTTGGAAAGCATAGAATTTTAGAAGCTATATTATATATTAAATATAATTGTCGAAGATAACGGAGAGTGACGAATAAAATAACATTATTTAACGTAAATAACATATTTGCAAAGAAATTAAATTAAATTTTCTTACTAATTAACATTGCTTAAACTACTATTTTATTGTACTTGTGTGAAAGAAGTAGTGAAATATGAATATATTTCATGGATTTGTTAATAGCCTTAAATACATTTACTGCAGTTTAATAATTATAAATCCGATATCATATTTAAATAATTAAGTATCCGTTTATTCCGAAAAATCATGTAACTTTTTAGTGAATTAAATTAGTGAACAATTTGATGAATTTTCCCTTTGTGATATCCCAACATACTTTAGGTTAGTGTGACAACTTTTGACCTATCCATGATAGGCCATGGAAATCTCGTAATGCCATTTTAGTAAACTTTGCTATGGAAAATCTGAAAAAGAGTTTAATAACTAATGGTCGTACAATCCAAATTCGACCGTTGATATAAGGAATAGGTTTTTTGTTATTTTATTAGTATTAACGATTTATTAACTGTAAGCTTTAAGCTTTAGCTCGGTTAAAAGTGCTTCACAAGTTTTAAAATAGCCCCACATGGGCAGAAAATAATTTCTATTCAAAGTAGAGCGGTAAGTGAAAGTTGTGTGTTGCGCGCACCAGATTTTGAAAACCTAAACATTTGGTAAGTATCCAGTGGCAATCATAGGCAAAAATTCCCGATTTTTTTCGAAAACGGTACATTTTAGCGTTTTAGAAAAGCATTTCTTGTTTCTGTGTTTTCTTGACACGCGCTTTCATTTTGTTGTTGCATATTTAGAAATAGAAAATATAGTAAATATTTAAGTATTTAATTCAGATTAACCACAGAAACAAAAATGAACCAATGAAAAAAAAAAAATTTCCATTTTTTTGGGGGGCTGGGGATGGATCAATCAAGGAAGTTACTGGGAATAATAATGAAGAAATTAACCTAGAAATATATATATATATATATATATATATATATATATATATAGTGTCCTGCTTCTGGAACCGGACTTCTCATTGTGTTTCATCTATACATTCTTATATATATATATATATATATATATATATATATATATATATATATATATACTATTTCGATATATTAAAAAAGGTATGGAAGTATATTGATTTTTTTTCCCGATATTTACATTCCACATTTAATGAGAATGATACCGCATTGCACACAAATTTATTATTAATATAAGCATACTCCTTGCACGTTATTATTAAGTATACAATACCCCTTTATATCGGACACTTGATAAATTTATTCCGATACCACCTGCCCTTCGAGTAGTTAGTTGGCCGAACCGATATTCTCCAACGGAACCCCAAACTAGTTTTCTGCCCATCTCGGACTGACCCTTTGGAATAAAAATGAACTGTGACCCTACGGAATAAAAATGTTTATTAGACAGGTTCTCATAGTGTCCTGCTTCTAGAACCGGACTTCTCATTGTGTTTCATCTATACATTCTTATTCCGTTCTCATACCGGCCACTCAAGAACTCGATGGCCGTTTGATGGGGTATGGGACATCGCTAAATGGTGGTTGAATTTTTTAAACCGGTTATCTTCTGGAGCTGAGAATCGATATAATTTCTTTAAGGCAATCTAATGTTGCAAAGCGAAAAAAAAATATATATAAAAAAAAAAAACCCATCAGAACTATATTTATCACAAAAAAAATAATGCAATAAACTTCGAGATGGATACATTAAAAAAAAAACATTTTTTAGACAAATAAATAAATTAAAATAATATATACACATGTGCTTGTTTTAGGTGAAAAATTTTTAATATTAGAAAATAAGGCTGTGTATAT